TGCACGTGCGGTTTAACAGCATATAGTTTAACGAGATATAAATCTGCGAAACGAAACTGGCGCCGCGCTATACGAGACACTTGTTGCTGTTGGGCTCTCAAAATCCTATGGTGCCAGCCAAAACATATTTCCCGCCCAGTCACAACATTGAACCGTCATGATGACGTGGGATCGTGATTCCGTATCAAATTCAGGCGAATCAAAAGTAAAATTTTAAACTTGAGGTTGGGTAGATCATTTGGATATCAAATGTTTTTAGTTCTTGATTATACGTTCTTAGATGCAAGTCTTCTGATTTTTTATGTTACTGTATACATATTGGAGTTTTGTTGGATCAGCCAATTTGATATATACTTGGATGCCTCAAATATTTATTTTAAAATTTTATTTTGTGACTTTTGCAAGATTTTTGTTGGTTTGATTTTATTCACAATTAACCATTTGGGGAGTTGAATTCCAAATTTATATTTTTCAGCTTAACGTAAACTTCATGTAATTCGACAATATTAATATTTTATTACAAACAATCAATAGTATTTTTTTTTTCTTTCAAAGAATATCTGATTAAGAAGTACAGGTTTTAAAGTACTTTGTTTGTTCAGGAACATCGCTTTTACCTTTACAACAATCAAGAGATTGCTACTTAAGGGGCACAAATAGTGTGAAATTTTCAAAAAATCGAATTTTCAATTTTTCCATATTTCAATAGGTTATACCTTTAAAAATAACATACCAAAATTTTAAATGGATATCTTAAATAGTTTTTGAGTTACAGCCGTTTAAAGAGTATATATAGTATATAGTATAACGATCATTTAATCTTTAAACGCGTTTTTCTCGAAACAGCATTTTCCGAATTTGCTGCAGCGATTACTCAAAAACAAATGATCCGATCACTATCAATTTTTTTTTTCATCTTCCATATATAGTTCTCTGTAAAATGAACTATCGATTTTTTGATCGGATCAAAAATCGAATTTTGGCAGTCCAAAAACGACCAAAATTTTGGGTAAAATTCGACTTTTTTAAAAAAAAACGCCATTTTGTCAATTTTTGATTTTTTTTTTCTTTATCGTAGTTCATTTTACAGACAATATTATCTAGTTTAACGAAAATTCTTTTTTTTTAAATTTCATACACGTAGAAGGCCGGAATCACTGCAGCAGTGAAGGGCCTTTTTTTGTCGCGCCGTTGGAGATCGACGATAACTTAAAAATATTTAATTTTTTTCTTCAAAAATTTTACTATGTATTCTTAAAATATGTATAAATATATTCCTAAAATTTTGAAATGATTGATAACGTAGTTTTTTTAATATAAATTCCCAAAAATCACCTTTTTTTAGGCGGTTACACTAGTTGTGCCCCTTAAGTTAAAAAAAAATGGATTGGGAAGAAAAAAATCTAAATTGCAGGTTTACTAAGCTAAATCTAACAGGTTAAATTTTGGGGATATTTGAGGAAAGCAAGTCTTTTGCAAGTTGATTCCGAATGTTTTCAGCCTTGTCTCGCACTTAGATGGAAGAATATCTGATTAAGAAAAACATGTTTTAAATTATTTCTATTCTTTTCGTATGTTCTGGAACATCATTTTTTTATATTTTCAACAATCAAAAAGATTGCTACTTAATCTGTTCAGTGGATACACGCTTGAAAATATTTCTTTTATCCTTTCTATTTTCTGGAGTGACGCTTACCTTTTCAACAATCAAGGTGCAATAGGTCGAAATTACAATCAGCGTCCGTCCTTTAGCGAAGTGTTTTAATTAAACGACGAAAGCACTTCATGATAATGATTTAATGGATGTCGAATGTAACCGCTGAATTGTAGAATTTAACACGCTTTCTGGCTTCAACCCTAACCAGAGGGATACTCGGCTTTCCCGGGCTTTTGTGCGGTTGTTGGCCTCCCCCGCTTTTCCACGATCGATATTTCGGCACTTCTGTAGAGGAATCTGCGTTTCTAGTATTTCTATAAGGGCTTAGTGTTTATATGTAGGGCAAGGTATTAGACATAATCGTAAAAACATTTATTTTTAAATGTTTTTTGAAATTTCAAACTAACCAAACTAAGCACTTCCTTATTATTGATTTTATAGCTATTCTTTATTGACATGAAAGAATAAACACTATACTGAAGAAAGCTTATTGATAACCATTCTTCATCATACTCATTCGCAATTGTGAGTCATTATAAACAATTATAAATATTTTATAGGCTTTTGAAAAATAAATTATTTTACAAAAAATTATGAAAAAAATCATATTTTTTCATTTATTTCGATATCATTTTCAATAGATCATTTGTATATCTCGATTTATTTTTGGAGGGGAATGATATAAAATATATATTCATATTTATTTATTAAACTAATTAATGCAATATTTTATATTTGGCATTTTTTCTGACAAAATTTTTACTTTAATTGTCTTTCTATTTTTTACTTAATTATATAAATTAAATTTAATGGTAAACTCGCTCTGTGTATTTACGGGAATAGTTCTTGATGCTATTTTTTGCCAAATATTCATAAAATAATCATTTTCAATGTTATAACTGCACAGAAAAATAACAAATAATTATCCATATGTGAACTTTTATTTTAAAATTTGATTTAATTAAATTGTATAATTTTCTCTTCCACTTTTACTCTGTAAGTACATTTCTTTCCATTCTAAATATTTTATAATGTAAATACAAAAGTATATGACGAGTTCTTTTTATTTATGGATTTAATTAAATGACAAAGATCTTGCCATATTTATGTAAACACGTGTTTTAATTAAGCTTCTTTTAGTATTCAGGGATGTTAATAATATATCAGCGTACGTATATTTAAAATGTACTTGTTTAGATTACGTAAATTTAAATTTTAATTAAATAATTTTGGTTAAGTCTTTTATTAAAAAGATATTCCCATACCGGGAATCGAACCCGAGCCTCCTGGGTGAAAGCCAGGTATCCTAGCCACTAGACCATATGGGAGATGAATACTATCGAGAGCAACTCTGGTTTCGTGTTTGAAGATTGATTACAATTTGCTGATATTATTTAATCAGCTGCGATTAATATCATATGAATCATCCACAGTCACTCCATATTAATTATGAACAATCTTGCAAGCTTGTATTTCAAGTATTATTCACTAATCAGAATTAGTAATTGTTTGTATATAAATAAGTGGAATTTCACTATTTAATTTTAATATTGCCCATTTTCTGTTCAATTAGCTAGAAAGGTCGAATTCTTCATATGTGAACCATATGGAGTCAGCAAATAGAATATTTTCGATGCCAGTATAAAATATGCTATTTATAGCGTCAATTATTGCTCGAATACCATAGCCAACGGTTATTGAGAGGTTAATAGTTTGGCACGCTTGTTAGCGATTATAATCATCAAATAATTATAAAGTCAATATATGCTGATGAACTATAAATATAAATTTGGGACGGACTAAAATTCAATTTAACGTCTATTTAAATTATATTTCTAATGGTAAATCATAAAATGCTTCTGGTTATGCTGCGGTGATACTCTTGGCATTTATGATATTTTAGCTATAAACAATAAAATGGTTCTACTACCAGCTCCAAATATCTTCAAAAACAATTTAATGTTTCACTCATATATTTTATTACTTCACAATATTTGTGATCATGTTGAGGGACTTGTACGCTTTATTGTAAGCAATATAAATTATTTCTATTAATTTCATTCATGCGTAGTAAATATAAAAAATTGTAAACTTTTATCAGGCACATCTGTGGAAGTTGTTTCATTGTGATTTACGACGTTAAACCGAAATCGTTTGTTTGACTGGCAAGGTCATAAATATATCCGTTCTGATTGGCGTATTGGCTTGTTTTGTAAATACATTTGGGGTATTTATGTACCACAATGGTTATTTTTGGGTGCGTTTATCTTATGAAATTTAACTAAAAACAGAGGTGAAAATAGTATTTTATCTTTGTGTTCAACTAGTGTAGGAAGGAACCATCCATCCGAGTAGGAAGCTGGTTATTTTCTACTAATCCAGAAAAAACTAGCGCACATTTCTCAGTAAACTCAGGAACAATGAGAATTTTTTTATAAACCAGGCTATAATGTGTAAAATGTCTAAATATAATGGTATCTTCAATATGTTATTACGACCTTTCTCGCTGAAATTCGACCCAGTGAAATTCCACCTATTTTATTTATATACAAACAATTACTAATTCCTGATTAGTGAATAATACTTGAAATAAAAGTTTGCAATATTGTTCATAATTAATATGGAGTGACTGTGGATGATTCATATGGTATTAAACGCAGCTGATTAAATATCAAAAAATTGCAATCAATCTTCAAACACGAAACCAGAGTTGCTCTCAATAGTATTCATCTCCCATATGGTCTAGTGGCTAGGATACCTGGCTTTCACCCAGGAGGCTCGGGTTCGATTCCCGGTATGGGAAATTTCTTTTTATTTTTCCAAATTTTACTTTTAAACAAATTAATGCTAATTGTTAATAAGTATATATTTACAGTTTATCGCATTCAAATTGTGCTGTTAAAAATAGATTTAAGTTGCTTGTACACTTTCACAATGAATCATTTATTATTTATCAGTTTTCATTTTATTTTCAAACAATTATCGATGCCTTCTACACATTGTGGGTCATTATTATCACACGATACAGATGCCCTTTTGACCCTTTTAACTTATAATGATGACTTTATAACCCAAGTCATTGTAATATTGACCTAAGCTAAATGAAAATTAATTATTTTGTTGTTAATAATTTTTATTATCGCTTTAATATAATACAATAACATTTTAATGAGATGATTTTGTTTGCGTGCGTATTATTGGATTCTGTAACTATGCTGATTTTATAAAACAACAAACATTAATAATTGTATAAAGCTCGTTATAGAATTGCATTCTCATTCGGTTGTTTGAAGATGGTTTAATTGACACGATATTTATTATTAAATATTTTGAGTTACTTGTGATGGATCTTAGAAAAACACTGATCGGTGAGGTTTTCATATTCATATTCAAACATTTTATTATTTTGAACGATATTGCGGTATTTTGTGTTTATGTGCACGATGTGCAAATACGAGCTTTCAATATTTTTTAATTAAAATTTTGTTTCTAGGCGAAGCAATCGACGATATGGAGGCTCCGGTCAATTTGCAATACCGCGATAGCCAGCACCAAAACAGCATGTTGCAGGCTTTGAACACGATGCGGAAAAACGATCGGTTTTGCGATGTTATTTTGCATGTAAGTATTTGTAATTGAGTTTAATTAAATTTTGTAGTGTTTCTGTTATCAGTCTCGATAAATATTTTTATCACTTTGAGGAAACCGCATTTTATACATTATACTGAGTGCACTAATAATTCCTAACAATTTAATTTTTACCTAATAATTCCTAACTATCTAGAGTTTATCCTTGTATATTATCTATACGATGTCTGTTTCCTTTATTAGGTGGGTACTGCGGCAATATCTGCTCACAGAGCTGTATTGGCAAGTGCTTCACCCCATCTCCTAGAACTTTTTGGAGAATCAGGATGCCCGTCGCGATGCAGAACCGGTGCCAAGTTACCGGCTTAACGGCGGCATGACCAAATGTGCCCTGCAAGCACTAGTGGATTATGCTTACACTGCAGTATTAGATGTACCTGATCATGAGGTGAGAGTTATAAACTTTCTAATTAATTATTCAGTTAGATAAAATAAATTGCTTATTAAAGATTGAAATTCAAATTTTTATTACCTATATTTCTTGTTTTAGGTTAAAGAAGTGTACCTCGGAGCCTGGCAACTTCGTATGGAACGTGTCGTGAGTGAATGCGCTCGCCATTTAGTATCCCGGCTAACTGATGAAACCTGCATTGAAACACGATCTCTACCAGGAATTGCCAAAAACCGCGATTTTGTATCGCGTGTTGATCGCTATATCTCTGATAGATTCATCGCGACGGACGGTAACGGCAGTTGTGGTGTCAGCAACACACCAGCATTTTTGGCTCTAAATTGTGTACAGATTGAAGTTCTTCATCAGACAAGACAAGAAATGTCACTAGTTGCTCCTGGTTCTTTGTGCAGACTTGTTTTGGACTGGGTTAAGAGGCAGATGACCGAAGAAACTATCACCGTAAGTTTGCAAACTATTTACTCACTGCTTTATTTATTGTAAAAAATATTTTGTATCTTTAGGTAAATCAATTGATGGAGAGATCTCATTTACTCTACTTGGCTATAGATAATTCGCTTCAAGATTGTGCCCAAATGCCACCGGGCCAAGATTCTGAATTGGTCGAAGATTATAAAAAAATGTCTCAAAATGTCCAACCAACAAAGGTAATTGAGTCTTATATAATAAACCTGCTGCAAATTATATAAACAATCATTTAAAAACATAAGGACAAGTAAAAATCTTATTTTTCTCTCCAGGTCGCAGGAAATGTTTAGGTCAGCCAGTGAGACCCGCGTTCTGATTTATTCACGAGACATTGGTGACCGCAATGATGCCGACACAGAGCCGGACTGGAGTGTGATTGCCTCAGATAAAGTGGGAGGTAAATTTAACTTGATAAACCACCAACATCTGTCGTTGGGTTGTTTAAAAAACATTCAAATTCCAACGACAGACTTATCAACAAATCTTAGTTGCAGATGATAGTTTACGACTGCCCAAAGGTGAGGAGAAACGGA